GATGTTAATGATCTCCATAACCTTAGTGTGGATGTTAATGATCTCCAGAGCAGGATTCCTAACGTTAGCAAGAGAAGAGAAAAGTCTCATGAAACGTGCTGAGTGCATTCCTGCCCCTCATTTTTCTCAGTTTTATTTAAACTAGGAGGCTAAACTAACGAGTACACGATGTTCATAGCTCTGCTCCTCTTCCTCAGATGAAGAATTGGAAGAGGAGGTACTTCATGCTGGAAGAAAACGCCATCAGCTACTTCAAATCTGACCTGGTGAGAAAATATGTGGTGTTAGTTCTAAAGTCCTGTTATAGCAGAGAGCTGTTACTGCAGTGCATGAAACACACTGGCTGTGGGCGACATTACACCTAATCATGGACACACACACACACACACACACACACACACACACACACACGACTAGAATATGTGTGTGTGTGTGTGCAGCGGGGCTTCGGTTAAGTGTGTGTCTCTACACGCTGCGGTATGTGTCTTGAATACCTCCTCATATGATCCACGTGTGGAAAGATTAGCGAGTCCTAACCGTAGCCTGTCTGCACATAAAGAGACACACCCTGTGTGCGTGTGTGTGTTCATGTCTATATTTTCCTTTGTAGGTATTAACCTGTTAAGCCCCATCTCTCATAAATGAATACACCAAAATGAATCTGGTATAGCTCCTCAGCCTGAAGGCTTTTATGCATATTTGGTGAAAATAACATTGGTGAATTATTTTGGTTTCCAGCATCAAGTTGGTTGAAGGATTCTAGAAGCTTAAGGCCTCAAAACGTCTATAAATAATCCATCTTCCATTGTGACTTCAGTAACGATGGCTGGACCCCGTCATGGTTTCCCTCTACCTGAACCTGAACCAACCCGTATCCCTACCGGAGCCACATGACATAAGCTGGGCTTGAGGACAGTCACGCATGTAGAGTGGGAAAGCTCCACTTCTTGAATCTAAAACATCTCAAGTCATTGTCAGAGACCAAACTCTATGTGTGAATCTATAAGGAGAGAAACGGAGGTGTTTTCATTTAAGAAGCTGCATGGATCTGCTGCTGGTTGCTTTGTAACGTTAGCTGATAAAGTACATGAAGTACATCGAGTACATAAAGTCACGAGACTCCTTTGACAAAGCAGTAATGTTACCTCTCAGATCACAGGAGCTGCTGCCAAACCTTCTGTTTGTGTCATTGTGTGATTCTTTTGTGTTTTAAAGGGTTATTTCAGAGTCACACAAGAACACAAACTACCCATCATTTACTGTTGTTGTTAATGGAGTCTGGTGTCTTTGGAGAGAGCATGATAACGACTGACCGCGAGGTGAAGCGGGGAACATGTTCTAACTATAGCGTTCACTTAAACTGAAGACGTCCACAGCAGTGCATTGCTTTGCTCCCGTGCCTGTTCTCATGTCTGCTCCTTTAAACTGTGAGCGCTCCGATCGCCATCTAATGCTTCAAAACATCCAAACTGTCCCTTGAAGATGTTGGTGGACGCAGCTCACCTGTGGTCGTGCAAGTTTTTGTGTGTTATCATTTCCTCTCTTCTACCTTGCAGGAGAGGGAGGCGCTGAAAGTCATCCCGCTGAAGGAGATTCACAAAGTTCAGGAGTGCAAACACAGGTCAGTGTGCGTTGTTGTTAGCAGGGGAACATGTGCTGCTGCTCATTAATAACTGCTGCTGCTTTGTCCCCGTTCTGTGTCCTGCAGTGACCTGATGATGAGGGACAACCTGTTTGAAATGGTCACCAGCTCCAGAACCTTCTACATACAGGTAACACACAGGGACAGGGCTGTGTCTAACGCTTACTTTGATCCTCATGTCATTTGTTTTTATTTTAGCTAAAGATCTTTAGTTTCTAGCCATGCTAGAGACGAGGCTCTAGGGATGATAGTCTGTCCGTCAAGCCTCCAATATAGTCACACTGAAATATCTCAACAACTATTGGTTGGATTCAGGCGGTTAAGCCAAAGCTTCATGTGTTAAAGCTGCATTCTCTCTAGTGTCCACCAGGGGGCGACTCCTCTGGTTGTATAGAAGTCTATGAGAAAATGACTCTACTTCTCTCTTGATTTATTACCTCAGTAAACATTGTAAACATGAGTTTATGGTCTCAATCTCTAGTTTCAAGTCTTCTTCAATACAGCATGATGTTCATTTAGTACATTATGGTCCATTTAGAGTCACACAGACCATAAAGCAGGGGATGATTTAGGGCGGGGCTACACGGTGATTGACAGGTCTCTAATAGACCATAAAGCAGGGGATGATTTAGGGTGGGGCTACACGGTGATTGACAGGTCTCTAATAGACCATAAAGCAGGGGATGCTTTAGCGGCCTCACTGCTCCTCAGTCCAGATATTTAATAATTTCTTTGCTGTTGTTTTACTGCTTCCTAATAAGCACTTTATATGCATGTTTTAACACGTAACATTTTGCATTATATTACTGCTTTGTGTATTTACAAACATCCTCTTTCTGTGTGTCAGGCTGACAGTCCAGAGGACATGCACAGCTGGATTAAGGCCATCTCAGGGGCCATCGTGGCTCAGCGGGGCCCCGGACGCTCTGCTACTGTAAGTATCCTGTTTATACTCATAGCAACATAATACCAATGAGTCTGCATTAAGAGATTTGTTAACCAAGAGCAAGACCTCACTACAGAGATGTGAGCATTTTACATTATTGTTGTAAATATCTTAATTTGTACTCTTTTGAATTGAAATAGAAACACACACCTACCGTCACCAAGATGATAAAGAGTGCATTTTGTTCAAATCTTCCCTCCCGTTGGTCAGCAACTCATTTTACATCCTCCACATGAAGGAGGAGCTGCGTGTTGCGGCTCATGTCTGATCAGGTGATGTGGCGCCATCGTGTGGCAGAAGGAGTTACTGCCGAAGACAAACCGACCGAGGTTTAAAACATGGAACATTTATATTAGATTATTTTCATCTTTAGATGATTTAGATGCTTAATTTCATCTCACATCATTTGTCTCTCACGTTTAAGAACATAATAATATCTCAGTGGTCCCTCACATGTCGCACAGATTCACTCGTTTTATCATTTTTTTACCCTTTTTTAGGAGTTTCACAACCTGATGATGGTTGAAATGTGTTTTCACGCCATGAATAGTGTTCACAGTGTGCACAATACAACTTCCACTCTGTGCAACCATGTCTGTTAATTCTCTCTCTCACACACACACACACACACACACACACACACACACACACACACACACACACACACACACACCTCTATCGTTCTTCCTCTTCCTCATTTCTATCCGTTTGAAGAGTTTCCTTCCAAAGCCACACAATCACCCACCAGAAGAAGAAAGTTCAATTCATATGCAACAATCTTCATGACTGTAACAATCTTATATTAATGTATATTAATGGAAGTGTGCAGCTGGCCACAGAATGTAGTTGAGTTAGCCGATACCTTCAGAACTTCAACAAATAGTTCATAAAGAGTTAATATTGTTGCATTCCTTGTCTTGTAGATTTAATGAGCAGACTCTTGACATTTTAAAGGACTTCTTAACATTTCACGACGAGGACGTTTTCACTTTCCTCTACTTTAAAAGAAGACGTTACGACTGAATGGGACTCGTCTTCCCCTGTAGATGGAGGGGTGGTGTTTTGGAAAGGAGCTCTTCACATGACAGTAACCGAGCTGTAAACTGTTGTTTTCAGATCCGTCAGGCCAGAAGGCTGTCCAGCCCTTGTATACAGAGGTATACGCCATTCTGCAGCGGTGAATGCAGCACGTATGTGACCCCATGCCCTCCCCCCATAACCCCCCCCCCCCCCCCCCCCCCCGACCCCCCCCCCCCCCCCCCCCCCATTAACCCCAGCTACCAGCCTCCCCTTTGCCGAGCATTTACCCTGCAAACACAACAGCTCTCTGGTTCCGTGTCCATCTGAGCTCTTTATATTATGAACCAGAGTGAACCATCCTACAGCTACCGGCTGTCCGGGTTGAATAGACTCACCACCTGCTGTTAAAGCGGTGAAGCAACCCTCTAAGATCACAGCTGGAGCAGAACGTCTATACAACAAACCTCTAGAAGTGTGTGATTGCTGCATGAAGTATTGCTGGTACTTTCCCTCTGAGCCGTGTTTGATCCCAGCGTGTAGGCAGGTGTGCTTTACTTACTTCTGAGGATCGTTTTCTCGCCTGAATGGTGTTTGTTGGCGGCATCCTCATCCTCCATCGAAACCCGCCCCACCCCGACATCATCGTCTCCTCTTGATCTGACATCGACTCATTTAGATTAACGCACCGGTCCATCGACGTCCCAGATTCTCTCTTTTAACCTTTTTTAATGTTGACATGTTGGCAAGATTAGAGAGTTGGGTCAAACCATTGTTCCTTTTCATTCTCACAACATGACCAACCATCTCTGAACTGTCCTCTTTATCTGTTATTTCCTTCATGTTGTGCGTCATTGTTCACGTCTTAATAACATTTACAGCGTTCAGAACAAATTCATCATGAGCTTTTCCTTTCTCCGCTAACCCTGTCTTTCTGTATTTTGTGTGTGTGTGTGTGTGTGTGTGTGTGTGTGTGTGTGTGTGTGTGT